TTCAACAGGAAAACACACGGGTCACCCAGCTCTCCATATAGTACAGTACTTTCTAATGGTTATAACTTAATGATGTAATTGCTCCATTCTCAAAACTGCACTCAGAAAATATTAACCAGCCAAAAAAGAGGTAATTCTGGGAAACAACAGTTTAAAGATGAAGGAACAGACGATGTTTGGAGCACACAAGTACATTTTGACATCTTCTTGAGAGTAAACTCAGGGAACTGTCAGAGATGCAATGTAACAATAAGTAACCATAATGGATGCTGCAAGCGTCATTCTCACATTCAGAGCTCTGCTACACAGAAATCTACTGAGAAACTCACACCAAGACACAGACACCCAAATGAAATCACACAGAGATTCCCTCCTGGGTCCATGTCCCACTTCCTCGCCAGGCAGTACATGGCCATACTGCCGCCGTGCGACTGACGGACTTCTGGCACAGAATGGCAGAGCGGCGGACACAAAATCCCTCTCAAGGAGCAGATGCTTGCTTCCTCTTGACATATGCCCCCGAGATGGGGCAGGGTGGATGGGAATTGGGAGGGAATATTAGAGGGGGAAGAAGGAGGGTGTTAATCTAGAGGAGCAGGGAGAGAGCAGAGGAAATGAGGATACAATAAGAGAAGTGGAAGTAGAAGGGTAAGAAGGGAAAGATCTGAGGAGCATTCTCAAGTTGTTTTATATACTCATGCGTCATTAGATAATGTGTTGCATATTAAAATTGAGTCCAGTGTTACGCTAACTGTCAGATTGTCATGTAAGTTATGTGAAGCCCTTTTGAGGGCATTAAGGATGAGGATTTAAAGAAAAGCTTTCAAGCTTTCTAATATATTAGAGCCAAGGGGCACGGGGCCAACATCAGAGAGTTGAGAGGAAAGTGAGCTCCTTCTCGGCTAAAGATGAACAGATGGTGTTGGGTAGTGAAAGAGGAGATACGAATGGATGAGACAGGATGAGAAGAGAGAAAGGGGTGAGAGGATTTCAAGAACATTTACATTTGTATCCAAATCGTCTCTGTTTCTCTTTGACGTGTGGTAAACTCCATTAGAAAATGAATGCACTGACAGCATTTTACAGAAATTGAAGGATTGGTTAATCAAAGATATGGAAACGTTACTCAGATTACTACTTTCTTTTGCTGTCTGAAAGGTATTGGCTGTGGTATTTTGTGAAAAATGGGCAACAAAATCGATAACAATCGTCACTTTGAATTGATTTGGATATTTTCAAGAGATGGGGAATGTACATGAAAGGAAGGACCATGATCTGTATTCAGAACCAGAATGTTTCATCAGGGGCTCTTTTCAAAGACTTCACATTAAACTGGCCTTGGTGTTTCAAAGAAAGAGTAAGAAGTAAAAAACATATTTATATATGTTTGATTTAAAAGATCAGGTCACCAAAATTTAAAAAAAAAAACCCAAAAAAACAACTACTCTCCTACTTAGCTCTAGTATTATCTAGTAGTCATGCAGGTAGATTGATGTCTATGATGTCTCGGTATTTAGGATTGCATGTTTGACTCATCTATGGCTATGCCAGCTGTTTTGTGACAGTGCTTTGAGCTAAATGCTAACTCTAACAAGACTCTCACAATAACAATGCTAACAGGCTGATGTTAAGCAGGTACAATGTGTATCATGGTTACCACTTTAAGGACTAGACAAATTCACCTGATGATGGAAAGAATGTGAACCTCGTGTTGGCACTAAAGGAAAATGAGGGGATCACCAAAGTCAGGAGGCCTCATCCATTTGGGACAAGCAACTCACAAAACACAGAATTCTGGGTAACAGAGTTATAAATGTCATTCTTGGTTGTTTGTTAGCGCCCAAGCTAAAATTTTATTGAACTCTATAGTAAATATTATGATTATTTTCATTATTATCATCACTATTTGTTATAATTATTATATTGTCATATTTCTATTATAATAGTTATTAAATGTTATTGTTGCTGTTCATCCGTTCATCTTCCTTTCTTTCTATCCCCCCTCTACCCCTCTCTAAACCCAGTCGGTCAAGGCAGAAGGCCACCCACCTAGAGTTGGGGTCTGCTCAAGGTTTCTGCGTGGTAAGGAAGGATGTTTTTCTTTGCCACTGTTGCCAAGTGCTTGCTTTTGGTTGGGTTTCTGTAACTAGTACAATCTAGACCTGCTCTGTTTGAAATGGTCTGAGATAACTTATTGTTACGATTTGCTGTTATACAAATACAATTGAATTGAATCAAAAATGTGGTGGAGGAAGTTTCAGAAAATGGACACTTAAAACTGAAACTTTCTGCACGGCTAGATGCCACCACAAGTGAGAGGGTTTTGTAATTTTAGGTCAAATAACCTTTTAAAATTAGTTTTTCTCCCCCTCTCTTTTCAGCTTCTCTTCTTCTCAGTAATTTCACCTCATCTAATATTATTTTTTGTCCGTCATTTGTCATTTACTTTGAGGTAATAAACACACAAAATATTGTCTATACAAGCATTACACATATCTGCACACAACCAATACTGTTGAAAGGTGAAATCTTTTTCATTAAAGCAAACAAACAAGCAAAGAACACACACTTAGAGAGCACCGTAAACAGCAATTCTAAGTCTTTCATTAATACGCACAAGAATTTAATTAGTAGCTATTGATAAGCTTTGTCTGTCTTAAGGACGTGTTTGTTTGTGAATGTGTACCGGAAAAGTGTGTGCGGGCTGCGTGTCTGTGTAACTTGAGGACATGCTCGTTATGCAGTCATTATACGGTGATCTTCTGGATTTGTCAAGCGTGAAGAGGAGAAACACACACTCACACACGCAGCGTAAGATATGAACACGGTGTGTTGACGGATTAGACAGGAGTTTTTAATCATCTTAATTAAGCCTAATTGTTATTTGTTGAATATGTGGCATTTATGAAGTTCACAGGAACACAAAAGCAGACTGAGTACTAATTAAAACTCAAGAACTGTGTTTTATTACAAGAATCTGTTAAGAAGCAGGAGAGGTTCAGTGGTAGCTTGAAACAAATGAGAGGAATATATCAGGAGATACTGAGCGAGCACACAGTATGGTTCCTATAAACGACTGAAAATGTACAAAGAGTCAACTTCGGAATTTCACTACACGTTTTCTATAGTTACAGCTGTGAATTATTAACATTTTACCACCAATCATTCAACTGTTAGGACACAGGCATTAGATTAAACCTTCTCAGACTGCTTTAGTATGAAAAGTTACACAACTATGAACATGTACAGACACATTTGCCTTTTTGTTCATTATGGTCATCAAAAAACAGTCAATACATTGCAAGTTAAGAGTCCCAGCTCCCAATATCGACAAACAGGCATCTAAACAATCACAAAATGTACCTTCAATATTAGAGAACAACTAGCAGCCAGAGGTTATTTAATTGGTCTTTTTATTTAACAACACTGATGTTGCCTTAGGTAGGTTTTGTTGTAGTGTTTAATAAGCAGGGGAGACTCTAATTGGATAAGAAAGTTTGTACTTCCCAGATAGATAATTTTGAGTGTGTGTGTGTGTTAGAAAGTGTGTGTTATAAGATGAATGTCTGATTCTTCTGTTGTTGGCAAGAGTCTTGCTACAACGGTAATTACAGACTCTCGTCTCTCTGGAAGATGATCCAGGAGCGCCACACCACACACACCCCCCCCCACACACACACACACACACACACACACACACACACACACACACACACACACACACAGCTCCTGCCAAAAGACAACACCCAGCACTCCCCTCCTAGATGCACCTGAGGAAAGAATAACTGTCACCACCCACACACACACACACACACACACACACACACACACACACACCCTTGCACCTGAGTACACTCACGTGCCAGCAAAAGGCCACAGCACCGTCTGCTCCTGCTACAAACACACACTCTCACACACACATCCTCTGTCTCTCTTCTTAACACTTCGTCTTCCTTTTATTTTCATTCTCAGATTTTGAACTGTACAGAGTGCGTTCGTGTTTGTAAAAAACATGGATTTTGTTTTTACACCAGCAGGCAGAATTATTTCCCCCCCACCAGCTTTTTTGGTTAAATACAGAGGCCCGTACAAGCAAGAACCTTCTGTGATGTTCCGACCCATCTGCAGTGCAGTTCACCAAGCTTGATCCACTAGTCCGACAGCTGAATATGCAGCATTTCATTTGCATAGTAACTGACTGTGTTCTGCATTCACATTTTAAATAGGTAATCAGACTCCACAGCTGTGGCAAGCTGATGAGTTTGACATAAAGGTGTATTTTCTCAAGTTAAATGTCATAGCAATGTACAACAGACCATGGATGAGGTGACTTGATATTTTACTCCTGCAAGGGCATTTGGTCACAATTCTTGAAGCTTTTGGTCACAAAGTGGATCTTTGCCCCTCCTATCTTGGGCGTCACCACAGACGATAAAGATGTCATAGCATCTGCCACAGTGGGAAAGTGACAGATCTAAAGTTTGTGCTAACAGAATAGCTCTCTCTTCTTGTTCTGAGTTGTGACGAAATCGAGCAGGCAAAATCGTACTTAATGCACGCTGTGTAAAATGCAGATACTACAAAACACTCTATTGATGTTAAAATGAGACATTCAACACTTTAAAATGTGTCTGACTAAATACAACAGATGTTTCAAGTCTTACACAGATGTGGACTACCATTAACAGGTGTGAGTAAACACACATGACAGATACTATGTGAGTCGGTGGTGTGTGTTTCCGTGTGTGTATGCAAGTTAATTGTCTCAAGGAGTACGACAAGCCTGCGTACATCATTAATACAAACACACACTTGTTTAGCAGGTTGCCACCTTACCCAGGGGGCACGCACACTCACGCACACACACACACATTTAGAGCACTTAACACCTTGTAAAAACCCCTGCTGACCCAGCAGAAATCACAGACACATTGAAGATGGGACAACAGGAGGAGGAGGAGGAGGAAGAAGAGATAACATGAACAGGGAGGAAGACACACCTGTTATTAGCTTTTCTCCAGACGGTCGATGGGATGGAAGTTGGGACGGACAGATCGAAGGAGGGACGATGAGAAGGAGGAGACAGAAGGAGATCCTGGGAGGGAAAGAGATAAATTGTCAGGCATTAATAATGGATGGCAGATCCTTAGAGACCATGTTCAGACATTAATAATGGATAAGACTCAGCTGGAGGGGGCAAGGAAACACCTCAGCAGAATGTACCTGAGGAAAGAGCAACGACAAGAAAGTACTCGCATGATGCTCCTTTAGAATTTGGTCAACTTGAAACCGGTTTCTCAACTCTGAGACAATAATGCATGTTTCTTTGAACTGTTCAACAGTTGCTTGCATTATTCCTGCTGTTATTTACACAAAGACAGTGCAGTTGGAGATATCACCTTACACTACACAGTAAACGGCAACTTCCTACTGCCTGAACATAAATCCAAAATTAAGTTGTGGTTTGTTCTGGTCAAAGATTTGTGTTATTATATCACTGCCATATTATGTTACCCTCCATTTCCTGGAAAACACCAGACCCCCACAGGAAGAAATGGAAGTCCCTGACAGGAAATAATCCCTCAAAACATATTGCATTACATTTAGAGCAACTTTCTTAGCAGCTACAGCAGCTGATATCATTATCTGACTTTGTCTGAAACTATTTTACTATTTTAGAAACAACAACAAGCACAAAACATTGGTAATGAAACAGAAAGCATTCACTGCAACATGGGGAAAAAAAAAACCAAAACCTGTAAAGCGAAAAACAATTGCTGGCCATTTCAATCAGATGCTTGAAATGATCATCATTCTGGATTCCCTACCGAGGCTGATTTTAAATGAGCTGTGAGAAAAGAGATATGTAGTTACACTGCAACCCTTAAAAGAACAAGGTAAACCTTCAATTCAAGTAAAATTACAGAAAAAACATTTCCTGAAAGAGCCCAGAGGTTGAGTTTAAACAGTCACAGCGAGAGTGGTTATATACCAAACTGAAAATCAGACGAACCACAAACTCAAACATTTCTGCATGAGCGGAGCGACAAGGAGAGGGCGCAAGCTAACTATCACTTACAAAGGCCCTTGTCACACACACACACACACACACACACACACACACACACACACACACACACACACACACAAACACACACAGAGAGAGATGCTTACACACACAAATGTGAGACAAAAAATACAGATGCTTCTACACACATGCACACACATATTTATGCACGCTTACAGAGACACACACACAGACGCACACTAAAACACACAAATTAACACACAGAGGTTGATGCACTGCCAGTTCTTGATGACACAGAGGGGAGAACGAGAGAGTGCACACACACACACACACACAATTTCCTCTGCATTGTCCTGCTCCCTCTCTGTCTGTTACATCCTCTCATCTTTATTTCACACACTCGCTCCCTCTTTTTGTATCTACACACACACACACACAGGCAAATGAGCAGCACACTTAAACTAAATGGGTGGCCTGATGGTGAATCACTGTCATTTATCAACAAAGACCTCAGCTTGTTGTCCCTTCATCCCCCCCTCTCTCTTCACACACACACACACACACACACACACACACACACACACACACACACACACACACACACACACACACACACACACACACACACACACACACACACACACACCCAACTATACACAGATCGACTCACGTATTACACATTCACATCGACTATCGCACACGTGTACAACACACCGTATGGGTGTATAATTACAGTGAGTGAAGCAGCACTAAGGAATAATTACAGAGGCTGGTTGCTGTTGTTGTTGTTGTTGTTTCCAACAAATAAACCAGTACACAAACAAGATGGAGGGGTGAGTGGCAGGTCAAGCCATCTCTGCGACGATGCTGTAGAACAGCGCCATCTCCCATATCCGGGTCTGTTCTCTTTCAGTGTCTCTTTCTACTACTGTATGGACATATGTAGGTATTACATGTGCATGTGTGATGCATCTCGTTCAGAAACTATAGGGATTAATCTGCTGCCACCACATTTGTAGTATGTGGCTTCAGGAATTTGCCTCCATTCAGCCACAGGAGCATTAAAGAGGTTGGCCACTGATGTTTAAAGCCTGGCTCACAGTCGGGTACCAGGGTTAAGATCAGGGCAGGCCAGACTAGTTCTTCTGTTGCCACAAAGTTGAAAGCACGCTTGTCTTATAAAAATATTATTGTATGCTGAAGACTTGAGTCAGGTGTGTCGACTTACTTTTGACTAGATCTTCCTCTCTCTCGCTTATCCATTTGTCTCCTTTTCACTACTTTTTCTGTTACTTTTCGGTTCTCCTTTTTAGCTTTCGATATCTTTTCACATCCTTCAAAGTCCCAAAGTTCTCTGTCCCCTCTGTAGTGTTTTCTTTTTACCCTCACACACACACACACACACACACACACACATACACACACACAGTGCCCGGGCAGTCACCTGCACTGAAGGTAAATGGAGTGTGAGGTTTTACTGGTGCTGTGATTGCAGGGTACAGCTCAGGAGGAAACAAGTGTTTGGTTTGTTTATGTGCTATCAGACAGCAGGTGGCGGAGTCAGCCCACCGCCTCCTGACCTGCACTGGGGAAAGGGGTGTATTGAGGTCTAGGATGAGTGTGTGCATGTGTGTGTGTGTGTGTGTGTGTGCATGTGTGTGTTGGTTGGGGGGGGGGGGAGTGCACCCACGAAACTTAAGTCTAAACATTTCTTCAAAGTATTCTGATGACTGGGAACATCCATAAATGTTTAAAAATGAGCACAGAGCTGAATCAACAACAGAAAGTGAACGTTAATGGGAACGTTATTGGGACTTTTGCATGTCCATCAGTATCTGGTCTGTGTCTGTGTGTGCGCATGCGTACTATGTGTTGCATGTGTGTGAAGCGGTTGGGGAGGTGCAAGGTTGTGAGGGTTATCCCACTGCGTCAGAGAGAAAAGAGGAAAAGGAGGGAGGGAGCTCTCTTGCATGTAGAAAAAACAGGAGCGATGAAAAATGGACGATAAACGAGTGGCTTTGTTCTCCTGAAGGGCTGGGTTCAGTGGCGGATGAAGAGCTAACTCTTACTGGGAAATCACAGCTTGGCACAGGTCTCTGTCTGTCATTGGTTTGCAGTCTCTCTCTTTATTCCTGTTCCTGATCCTCCGTTTCTTGAGTTTTTATCTCTTTATCAACCTTTAGTTCTTTTTCTTGCTCATTCTGTCGCTTTTTCTATTGATACACGTTTATTTCGGACACATTCTCTTTGTTTTATTTATCTTTACCTCCATATCAACTTACTTCTTTACATCTAACTAAATCTCCAGTATCCTGCATATTATCTATCCACTGTCTACCTTCTATCCTTCAATCCATCCACCCCTTCTCTGTGTCCCTCCCTCCCTCCCTCCCTGTTCGTCATCATATCTATGCTTTCAAGTCCTGTTGGAACGAGTGTGAAGTCCACTGACATCTCAATGGCATGCCTGATAGCCCACAAACACACACAACAGAATTTCCTGTGTGAGACGGACACTTTGGACACTGTGTCAATTAAAAAAGAGACAGACAAGACAAGATAAGATTTAGTCTTATTTAGGGATGCACCGATCAGCCTTAAGTACAGATTCTAACACATAAACTCAGAATATTTGCTCATACCGAATCAATACAGTCACAGATAAGGCAATATTATGTACCAGGTATTATGCAACTTCACTAAACATTAAATTGGCAGCCCACTGTGACTGAATTTTAATAATAACAAATGAAAAAATGAAAAAACTATTTAATATGGATCAGGTCTCGCCAATACCTGATCCACCTAAAATGGTCGGTATCGGCACAGATTTGTGCATCTTTAGACTCGACATTTAAACCACTGAGAATTGTTTCAGCCCAGTTGGATTCACTGTACCTGACCAATGAGCGAACTACAGGAATATTTAGTTTTTGAGACATGTCAGTAAGTTGTTAACGTGTGTAGAAAGGGTTCATGTTGAAAAAATGAGTCAACGACAGAACTGTGCAGCACACTTAAAACAACATTTGTCTTGCAGAAAATTCATCCATACATCCACCAGACGATAATGAGCTTGAGTTTTTTTTATTTTGAGTTTCAAAATAAATGCAAAAATAAATATCTTCCATCAGCAGAAAAGTAGAAACTGAAGGTGATCTGGTTGTAATAACAGCCTCGGTGAAGTGTTTGATGCTTTTGCTTTTTAAAAGCAGCTTGTACTGCTCACATACAGTTCTCATAACAGTGACTCAAATTAAATAACTATGGCACTGTCAGTGATTCCATTAATTATTAGCAATGTCATTTCACTGTATTACAGCAATTATATAACAATATTTCCTAAATTCCATTGCTTTGAAACAGTAAACAGAGGAATTCTTTGCAGTAAAATAAAATGCTTACAAGTATAAATACTGTTATATGTGTTTATACATTATCTGTTATCTGTTATAATGTTGGCAATTATTTGATTATTAGAGTCACGATCTTAAATATATTCCCACTAGACATGTTTACTTCAGCTAGACTGAGCTTTACCATTTAATTACCCTGTTACTTTGAGTGTGTATGCACAAGTGCACGCATGCCTCTTGGTATGCCTGTTTGTGTGTGTGTGTGTGTGTGTGTGTGTGTGTGTGTGAGTTAAATACCCTTAACAACCTTATTACTTGCCATGTTTTTACCTTAAACTTCTTCGTTGGTTAAATGGGAGCACGGCTTGGCTGTAGATCAGCCCCAGGCGTTTCCTTACGTGCTCAGTTAAAGGGGCAGAGGTAAAACTCTGTAATTCAATTTCAATTAAAGGAGAGAAGAAGAGGAAGCTTTAATTGATTGTCGCTATGCCAGAGTTTGTGTGTGTGTGTGTGTGTGTGTGTGTGTGTGTGTTTGTGTGTGTGTGTGTTGGGCTGACTGTATACACACACACACACACACACACAGATGTCCTACTTTCTCGTTGCTTAATTATACTCGCTTGTTTCCAGTCTATGTTGGGGAAGCACGGGGAGGGGGCCAATACTGTATTGTATTTATGATATTGTATAAAATGAATTTTAATTATATTA